CTATTTTACCCCAAACCAGGACACCTGGATAGCAAAGCTAAGTTTATTAGAGCCAAATCAATACCAAAATGTGAAATCCAGGTGAAACTATTGTTAAGTTTGGAGTGACAGGAGAGGTAAAAGTATTTACTAAAAATTTCATTCACTGCCTTTCCTTGAGCAAATTACACTGTTATCTTCTCTATCAGTAGTTTCATTCTGGTAGTTCAAAACTTGCATTGAACTACTACAAAGAGTAATATATCCATAATTGGGCACAAATTCACTAAAGTTCGTGTGATTCTTGCCATATTCTTTATTGTAATTCAGTGCTAGAATTTTAGAATTTACTGTGATTGTATGCTAGAATTTCCTTCCCTTTTTAGAAGGCAAATTTGTAAGTCAGTGTCTCTAAAATTTTATAATATATTAGGTTTTTTTTTTTTTAATATAGTCATAAACTTCATTTTATGTACTAGTAAACGAAGGGGTATCAACAGTAGAGATACTAAAATGAAATATACTATTTAACAGGGAACAGAAAGGAAGAAGGGTAGGGGTTTAACGGGGTACAGAAAGGAAGAAGGGTAGGGGTTTAACAGGGTAAATGGATTGTAATAACAGCAAAGGAAGGAAGGTTAGACTTCCAAAAATACAAAACCCAAACGCTGTGCTGAGGCTCCACAGTGCTGGATCACGCTGGATCTAAGCACAATCCTTTGATGTGTATGGAGGCAGGGAACGAGTCTGTAGATCAGGCCCAGGTCCCAAGATGGCCACGTCCGCGTGCAGCACAGGGAGCAGCAAACAGCAGCAGAGCAGCGTGTCTGCGGCCAGGAGCCCAGCAGAGAGGAGAAGAGGGCAGGGGGCGTCTCTTCTCTCCCCCTTTATAGACCCCAGCAGGAAGTCCTGAAGACAGGACGAGGGGAGTGGGAACAGAACAGGTCTCTGCCCCTTTCATTCAGGCTCACTCCTGGTTTTAGATTTCAAATCTCCACCCCCAGGAGCGGCAGGACTTTCAAACCATTACATATATTAGTCTTTTTTTTTTTTTAATATAGTCATTAACTTCATTTTATGTACTAGTAAATGAAGGGGGATCAATAGTAGAGATACTAGAGTGTAATTTATTTCCCACAAGAGAGGCCCTTGGTCCTGTTTCTGCCAGTGGTGGTGCTTTGTTTTCTTCTGCAGGGTTGGATACCCTAAAGGTTAGGCAGTAACAGGATTTTAACATCAACTGATTATATAAAAGGTAGAGTGAAAATCTGATTTTGCAAGTCATTCTGCTAAGCTCATGAAGTGAGAATGCTGTGAAATGATTCAATGTTTGTAATTAGGAACATATTTCTTTCTCCTCCCACCTGTTCTTTTTACCTGGTGTTGCTTTGGCAGGGATTTAAGGGTAGGCAATGATGCTAGAGATGAGAAGCTACAGCTCAGGTCTCATAGGATGACTTTAATATCTTTAGGGTTATGTCATATGGAAGGTTCAGCTGTCTGTAGCAAGCCGGTTTCTATGGTGATCTGTTTTCTGCTTTCTCTTTCTCTTCTCTAGACAGTAGAAAATGTTCAGTTTCAGCTGAATAAATTAAAGGTGCTTCTTTCACGCAGGCATAGATCACATAGCTGGAAACTGCCCCACAGCATTCACTGCCTGAAGTTAACAGTATTTGGGTCTTACGAGGCCAATGCCTCTTTTACATGAGGAAACTTTTCTTTGTGTAGCCTAGAGGAGACCAGCCGGCTAACCTGTTTTACTAGACAGCATTTTTAAATGCTTTCCTCTTTTGTATTACCTTTACTTTGCTTTCTGTTAATTCTTGTGCTGGGAGGGAAGCAGTATCCCACCAGAAATACTGAGGATGGGGAGCTGCTGCTATAGCTGGGGCGAGGGGAGGGGCCATGGCCCACGTGTGGTGTGCACTCAGTCATCAGCTGTGTCTGAACCTGTAGCATCTTTGTGTTAATCTAAAAAACTTCCCTGCTTTCTGGCAGGGTTTTGATATTTAGGTGTTTAATTTTTTTTAATAAAAGAGAGTTCTGTGAATGGGTGCATTTTTTTGGATATATGCATATTTTATGAAGTTTTATTTTCTTTAAAAAACAAGTGGAAAGGTAAGAAGACGTTATTCCTTGATTGCTCCCTACCTGACTCTAATACTGCACCTCTATTGTCATGTCCTGGTGAATTAATTTGGAACTACTCTGTAGTTTCTGTAGGTTTGTACTTGCATTAGTACATGCACTTGTTAGCACACACTTTCATTTTAATTCAGCTGAAGTTTCTTAGCCTGTGAGTTCTGTATACAGCAGAGCTGAAAACAAACAAATAGTCCAAGTGCCCAAACTGTGGCTTTTGCTGCTAATTTCCTATCTGCTGCACTGCCTTTTTGTTGGCCTCCATTGCTGTTATATACAGTGCTCTGAATGGCAAGAGCACATGCTGGAGAATTGTTTTCAGGATCTTTAATTTTTCAAACAGTTCATCAATATTCATGTCTTTTGGGAGAGTGGGTAACAAAATATGTAAATAATGAAGTTATACTGAACTTTTGTACCAAAAAAACCCTCATATAGATATGAAACTAATAAAGCTTAAAGAAAAAACAAGCAAACAAAAAAAACCCACAACTACATATTTACTACAAAGAACAAAGTTTCTTGTCTTTTTATAAAGCAGATGTTTAGGACTGGCATAAAAATCCAGTGAAGATGAAGAAAGACCAGGTATGGGAACGTAAGTTATTCTGTAGTGGGAACAAGGAGAGGTGAATTTTGAATTCTTTATTTCATTATTTTTCTCCTTTTCAGTAGATCAATTTGTTTTACATTCATGACATAAGCTTTTCAGTTGTCCAGGAGTTTTTTCGATGAAGGCAATGGCAGTGTTTTAAAGCCTGCAGTGTATTAGGGGTAAAAGCCATTGATTTAGGCTGTTGTAAATCACTTGTGTGCTGTTCTTGAGAAGCATCCTCGATATCGGAAACAAATTGCTCTGTGAAATCTGAAATAATTGCAAGCACTGAGCCTCTCTGGCAGCCTCCATCTAGGCAGGGTGCGTATCCCTGTCCTGGCACTGGGGCTCACTCCCCAACCTCCTGCCTTTGCTGAACATATTTTATCATTTCCTGTCTTGCAACCAAAGGCAGTGTGAAGTCTGATCTTTAAAAAAATCCCTAGCAGAAACAAGAAATTTGTCATTCAAAGTAGTAGGGAAACTGGGTTATTAAGGTAAAAAAAGAAAAGGCTCCAACATTTTTTTGAGAAGGAAGATGCTCTACAAATACGTGTTCTGTAAGATTAGGTGATGAACCTGTATGACCAAGTGCTCTTTCCTCTGCCATCACATGCTGTGCTTTGACAAATATATTGCAGTTATTTTGAAATAACTCAGTGAATTGAAAATGTTTTGCAGCATGGCTGCACCTCTAAAGCCAAGAAGCTATTTTGTTTGCACAGATTGATGGTGTGGGATGATTTTGGTGCTCTTCAAACATTGCAAAAGCATCAAGTCAGAAACTTTAATATACTAAATATGTCATAGCTTTTTCCTTGTGTTACTCAAGAGCCATTTCATATGTACATATTTACAGCTATATAAGTAACTAGATGGTTTCCATACACCTTTAGCTGATTCACAAATGTGAGATAACCATTATATCTTCACTCATTTAAAAACAGGAATATTCTTTCTCTTTTTGAAAACAAGTTTGTTCTAGGTTAATTTTATGTATAAAGTTTGGGTGGAAATGGTCATTAACTGGAATGCTGTTTGGTTTGTTGTGGTTTGTGTTTGGTTTTATATGTGTGTATGTGTGTGTGTGTTTGTTTTTTTTTTTTTTTTGGTTAGTTTGTTTTTTGTTTTGGGGTGTTTGTGTGTTTGTTGTGCTTTGGTTTGTTTGTTTTTTTTTTTTCCCCCCAATTATCTGGAGGCCTTTTCAACCAAAGGGTTGAAATCTTTTCAGTTTTTTTCTTTTGGCATTCCAGAGTTAATACATTTTAAATTTGTCTTATTTGCAACAGCAAAGGAAATAGCTTTTAATACTTGAGATCAGGTAGCTTTGCCTGAATTAACACTGGTATGCCAAAGTGTTCTCTTAGGTTGGTGGGGAGGAAAGGCAAAAAATCTGTATAATGGTTAGAATCTACTCAGAAGAGTTACTCCAAGGAATTCTTTTGACAGCTAAGTTTTTGATCTCTCTGAAAACACAATTTGTTTTGCTTCGTGGATTTTCATCATTGAATATGTATCTTGAAACATTATTTTGTATGGGAAATGCCTTTTTCTGTGTGAGCAATAAAATTAGGTTTGTGTAGCCTTTTATCAATAGAACAACTTATTCACTTCACATGTACTAATTAAATTATCTCTTTTTTAAAGGTTTGGCTGTTAAATATTTATTTTTAAAAGTAAAAAATATTTTTAGTGTCATATATATTAATGATTTAACTATATTGCAACAAGAAGTCACTGACCTTTTGCTGTTGTATTGCAGTATGCCAGGGTTTGGATCCCCGATTCAGAAGAAGTCTGGAAGTCAGCAGAACTTCTCAGAGATTATAAACCTGGAGATGAAGTCCTCCAGCTTCGACTTGAAGATGGCAAGGTAGGACTGCATATTGTTCTTGGTGGGAGACTGATGTATCTAATGCAAGAAGCTGTAACATCAAAATATGTCTGTATTTATGTATGCGTAATTATGCTTGTCCACTGGCAGTATATTCCAGTAGTATTTTTTCGTGTGTGATAAATTATTCTATTTAGTTACAAAAAGCCATTTTGCTTGATTTTTAAGGGAAAGAAAAAAATTTGTTGCTTTTATCCAACTGCCTATTATATTCAGTTGCATCATCTTTTTCTGCTTATGCTGTTAAACATATAACCCTGGTCTGATATTCCAGTGAGAGCAGTGTTGCTAGGAGAATACTGTTGCAGAGAAAGAACTGTGACTTTTAAGTCGAGCATAATTATTGGAAGATTTATAAAGATAAAAAAGGGGAAGGATTAAGGGCATTATGAAAATGATGCTGTATCTGGTGTAGAGGAATTATGATGTGTCCATGAAAAGCTCACGTCCTTTTAGTGAAGGCCTGTTGCATTTTTTTCATGCCATCTGAATGCTTATTTAATTTTGATTTATAATGATGAGTCCTCAGATCTTCTAATGGAAAACAGAGATCTAGAGCAGGTGGTCAAATACTTACTTTTAATTTCTTTTTTCTTACCAATGGGCAATTTAGATCCTACTTTCATGTGGACGCCTACATAGCAATGAAGTAAAATGAACAGCTTATATGTATAGAATAGCTTCTAAATAAAATATATTTCTTGAATGAATTTCAGTCTTTGACTCGCTCACATTTCTAATATGGCAAGCTAAGTACAACATTTTTTAATCTGACAAAATTAATTTTCCCCCCACATATTTCAGGCTGTGTGGTGAAGCTGCACATTGCATGTGGTAGAATGGGGGTGTTTGCCAGTTCAGTGACATTGTGTGGGGACAAGGAAATAGCAAGTAAATAAAGTCATTTTAGATCTAGAGACAGATGCAACTAAACATTGTATATTAGAGATTACTCTATATCTGCAAAAATTGTAAGTAGCAATTTTTTAGGTTTATGTTTTCTTGTTCTTCACGGTGTTCTGCTAACATTCTCATGTTGTATTACTGCGTATGAAGCTGGCTATAGGCTGATGGGAATCTGCTTCCTCTGTCTGTTCTGCTCAAGAGGAAAATAATATGGAAAAACTGGTTAGATTTATGCTATAACATGGTTTGGTTTGTTTAATAAAAGGATTTGGCAGCAAAAGCAAGGGGTTTGCTTAAGTAATAGTCTAAAAAGATTATTCTTTATGGTTGCCTGCTATGCATACAGAAAACCCTTTTGGGAAATTTTAAATTACGTTTTTGGAGAAAGAACTGCTAACTCGATTCACCAGATAATTTAAATCTTGCATTGTGTTTTTGTAACTTGGGCATGTTTTGTTGGGAGGAGCGGCTGAAGGGACTGAACGAGGAAACCTGAATGCCAGATCATCCAACATGTGTTTCCATTTGCTTTTCAGGACCTAGAGTATCGCCTAGATCCGAAGACAAAGGAACTCCCACCCTTGCGAAATCCTGACATACTTGTTGGTGAAAATGACCTCACAGCGCTCAGTTATCTCCATGAACCTGCTGTTTTACACAACCTCAAAGTTCGATTTATAGACTCTAAACTAATCTATACCTATTGTGGCAAGTACTGTCTTCTCATACCATAATCTCCACAGAGAATGCCCCAGGCTAGGCAGGAAAAGGAAAACTGGTTATCGATGTGTCTGCCTTTAAGTTCAAGTTATCTGACGATAGGTGTGTTCAGTTATTCTTTCAAAAGTCCCTCTGTTTGTCCTCATTAAGGGCATCAAGTAGACTCAAAAGTATTAAGGTCGAGAGAAAATTGATGTCACTGTGTTCCTCTAGTGTGCCAGTGGACTCTGTTTCTAAAATGTGTATTCAGCAATTTTAGCTTGCCAGTGTGATTCCTGGCTGGTTGGTGCTTCCCTTAGGCTTGCTTAGATAGACATAGGCTGGAGGAGGGCTTCACAAGGTGCAGGTGCAGGAGCCTTGCTGTTTGTTGGGTTTATTGCCCAGCCATGATTGCTTACCTCACATTGAGCTCCTCCATCTCTGTATGGAAGATAACCATTTATTTTCTTCTTCATGTTTTTCAGTCGGTGCAACTATAGGAGTGAATTTGTAATGGTGCATGAGCCTATGCTTGTCTGATCACAACTAGAAACAATCTTGGTTTTAAAAATACTATTTAGCTCACAGTAGAGATTACCCAAACTTATAATTGTCCGTGATATTTTCAGATGACAAGAATGGGGTGATGCTACTTTAATGGTCACTTCATAATTGCAAAATTGCAGCTGAGTGGTCTATTTTAAAGAAACATTGCAAGGTAGTTTAGGCTTAAAATTTAGATTTCATGTGTCTGGGCTTTTTTCCCTACTTGCATGTGTTCCTTTTAAATCTCAGTGTTTACTCAAAATACACTGCTAACTTTTAATATAACATTTCAATATACGTAAGCTTCACACAGTTTTTAAATATTTCTGTAGTTTATCTGTATTTTGGAAATTGTGCTAGTACAGAAGAAACAGTTTAAGTCATTAGTGGATTTTTTACATTTCAGATGAGTAAAACAAAACATAGTAAGATGATGTGATTGCTAGAAATCAGATATTGAAAAATTCCTTCTTGTAATTGCCTGATTAAGGCAAAGACATACTTTTCAGTACGTGAATTTTCATATCCATTGTAGCCTAGTTTATGCCAGCAGAAAATATACCCCATGATTTTTTTTTTTAGTAGACCATTTAACTTTGCATCTAATCAGACTTCTGTAGGTCAATCCCAGTTCTTGGTATTGCAAGCCAGAGTGTACTGAGCCTTCTTGAGGTTCTCGTATGTTATTAGACTTGCTGTTTGTAATTTCATTGTACTTTATGCTGTTTTGCAAACTAACAAGTAAGGAAATCATGTTGCAAGGTGGCACTTGAGAGGTATCAGCTGATCCTGGCTGCAGGTATCTGAAGCAGAAATTTGTGTTTTGCAACTGAAGGCCTTGTCCTGTCCTGGTCTGCATATGCAATATACCAGGGATCAGATTTTCCCTCTTCCCATCACTTTTGCAGGTGATGGGTATGGAGAGCTAAGGCAACCAGCATGTTAAACATGTTGTGTTGGACATACTGCAGGCATTGATGTCCTGCCACATTTTGCCACTCGGTCCACTCCTGAACTGCTGGATGCTCAGCAGAGTGTGTCTGCTCCCAGTCCTGCTGTCAGCAGTGCTCAGGCCACAGAGGACTGACTCAGACTTTGCCAGCCAGCTTTCATTCCCGTAGGAGTGGGAGATGATTCATACCCATGTCTCATCCCATCATACAGTTGGAGCATGACTAGAGGCACAGGATAATTTTGCTTGGAAGAGACCTGTGGAAGTCTTTAGTGAAGCTCTGTATTTAAAACAGGTCTGACAAGATCAGGTTGCTCAGGGCTTGGACCAGTCAAAGTATCTGAATATTTGAATATCTCCAGCGATGGAGAGAACATCCTTTCTGGGCAACCCCTGCTGAAGGTGCATGTTCTAGCCCCAGCACTGGGAAACTGCCTCAGTTTAAACATTGTCTGTGTTTCTGTCCCTAGTACCCCCAAGGCAAAGCTCTTGATGGGGGGAACATTTTGTGAAAACGCTTTTGTGCAAGTGGCATTTCATGGCCTGAGCTTGCAAGAGGTTTTCAGTCCAGGTGGTCCCATGCCTACTGATACCATTGTGCCTCTCCCGTAGGACAGTCTGCCCAGTTTGTGTTTTGGCTGCTTGCACACGTGCTCTGTATGTCATCATTTAAAAGGCTTTCAAAAGGAATGTGCTATCTGCTAGTTTTGGTTTGCTCTGTTTGGGAAAATATGTTGTTTTCATGTTTTCCCTAGTACAGCTTTTGTTGTGGGTTTGGCTGGTTTTATTATTTCTTATAGGGCTGGAAGACCTTTAGCTCTTCATGCATAGGTCTGCCAAAGGGCCTGCAATAGTGGAGCTTGATTGGCTGTTTTGCTTCCAAACAAGACTGAAGTGATGATTCTGGGAGCTGCATGGGTGTTTATTAGAAATATGCGGATCCAGCACTGTGGAGGTTCCTGGTGGTCAAAGTGCAGGTGAAAGTTTCACTCTACCCAGTGACCTGAGGAATGCAGTGGGTTTATTAGCTTGGAATGTACGCATATGTACCTCATGTTATAAGCCAAGGAAAATAAAGCTGGCATGTTGGCCTTTAAAAATCCGATCGTTTGGCCACAGACATTCACTTTTCAAACCGCCCTATCGGATCCCATCCTGAGTACAAGTTACTTCCCCTCTGCAAAGATTATTGCCTTAGAGCTCTGCCTGCGGAAGGACCTGTATTTGCCTTCTCAATCTGACTCATACATTAGCCAGGTTTGTTTAAATATCCCATAAAAGTGGTTCGAGCTAACCCACCTGATTTAGCCCAAAGGAGATTAAAAACATTTGAATCCACCAAGAGAATTATGGTAACATTATTCTCAACCAGCAGAACTACAACTGGGATGGATGGATGTCCAGAGCCCTAGAAATTAATTCAATCATGCCGTCTTAGTGTAATATTTCAAATGGCTATTAAATTCTTCAAAATTTCGCTTTGAAGTAATATGGTCTTTTAGACAAAAACTTCCCAATTTCTTAATTTCAGGTCAGACTTTCACTAGCAATTCAGAGGTCATTTGTAACTTTACTGCTGGGAGTGTGAGAAGAGGAATTAATGAATGATATTGAAAAGTAACAGAGGAAAATTTGGATGCTTGCATGGAAAAACTGCCATGGCTATGATGAAAACTCAGTGTATACTGCTCATTAGTTCAGATGTATGAAGTACTCTTGTTATGCAGGAGAGCAAATTTTAATTTAAATTAACAAATTGTTTATGTTAATGTCCAAGATGGGTGAATACGTTCAAGTTAAAAGAATCAGATACACCTATTTTGGGTATATATAAGAACACTGGCACAAAGAGTAGCCAGAGTTCAATTTAGTGTAATTGAGGGAATGAAAACACACATAAATCTGATTTACAGGTTCCACAGGAAGAATATAATTCCTAACTCACTTGTTTGGTATATTGCCAGATGGTAGTTGCTTGTTGATTTTACAGATCGCTACGGAAGTTAAGTGATTTAATGTGTTGGAGGCTTGTCATGGAGTTGCATGTTTTGAATTCAAAGGTTGATTTTTGCCAACGTAGCCAAAAGCAGGAGGGAGTTGTCTGAAGCCTCACACAGCTTTTTTTTTTAATGTCTCTTTGATTAGACTTGTAAGCATGGGAGGCTCAGCGGCACAGCCTTACTTTTTACTCCTTTTTCACAGCTACAAAGGGCAAATATTAAAAACCAACACCAAAAATATTCCTTGAATCTGCTAATACTGATGTCCCTTCCACTCCCTGTCCCCCACCATTCCCCACCACCCCTCCTTGATTTTTTGGCTCATTGCTACAGCTTTAGAACTTGGCATGAAGTTTTACAGAGACTTTTCACTCGAGCTCCTTAGTCATTTCAGTGAAATCATGGTTGATGGAAAAATACTGACTCTACTTACATGGGTGTGTCTAGCTGTAAAACTTGCCATATATTTGAGGAAACAGAGGTTTCTCACATCTCTTCATGAAGGATAGTTTACTGTTCTTTAGTGTTTTTGCTATGGTTTGTGCTTGATCTATAAATGCATGACAGGATTTTAAAACTGGATGATGTTCCCAGCAGCAGTGCCAGACTGCAGATGCTTTTGCTTCCCTTATCCCAGCTTTTCTGTGGAAAATTTCTTAGATAGACATCACAACACTGTAATCTGCAGAGAGCACAGGGCTGGGATCTGCATTGAGGAAGTCCGTGTGTGTGAATTTCTGAGTAAATTTAGAAGCGAGTTGAGAGCTGTGGAAATCCTTCTGGTGCAGGTTCTTCAGGGATGATTTGTCCAAGGAATGTGTATAGCATGCTTGCTAGAGTCTCTATGCAGCCATCTGCACCTGCATTGTTGCTTTTAGGCACCAAAAATATATATTTTGAAATAAATTAGATTTTTAAAATGGCCACAGTTAAAATTAGAGTTTCTTTTTTTTTTTTTTCCCCTTATCACATTGTCAAGGTGAGGAGGAATTGCCATGTCAAGAGAGCACAGTTTGCCTGACACGGCTGGGTCTTACGTGGCACTGGTCAGTGTTTTCACCCCTGCATGGAGGGAGTAACTGTTCCTTACCCATTGTAAATGCTACAGGAGAGAAAGGTATAAGTAATCTTTGTCAAATCATCCCTGTAGACAGAGCAATCCTCGTTTCTCATGGAAAAAGAAAATTGTACCAAAAGCATTTGAGATCTTGCTTTGTGGCTTGTAGGATATATGAAATAAAACTGCACTTCTTGTGTGGGGAGAGGAAAAGGATGGCATGAGCTCAGAAATGCTGAAGTAATGACTAGTATTAAAAAAAGCAGATGTGTTTATTTGGGATGGATAATCTGGAAAATGGAATGTGTAAGCAGTTAAACACACGTATAAGATGAGTAGTTTATGGTGCCTTCTGGAGTTGGAATTACTCAATTTAACAGAATCATGGAACAGTTTGGGTTGGAAGGGACATCTTTAAGGGTGAATTTCCTAACATGGCTCTGTACTGTCATGTATCAGCCCCATGAAACATGTCTACGTGTATTTTTTTTATCCCTTTGCACAAGAGGTTGTCCTGGCAGAGAAGCCCTGGAGTGCAAATTGCATAATGATTCTACTTTGTTGCTTGTTGCAAAACCTGAAGTTGTTATTCCCAGGCGTAGCCTGATGGTTGAAGGGTTAACGCACTTCACATATCCAAACTGGCAGTCAGCGAAACCATGTGGTAGTTATAGTATACAAATCACATTATCCTTTGCAATTAATAGTAAAACACAGGGAAGTACGGTACACATTTGTTGGTTTACTGCACTGAGGAGGCAGTATTTCAAGTTGACATGTTCTAAATCTGGTTGTTTTGAGCATACAGGCTTTAGAAAGGGCAGACAGAGAAAAAGTAAAATGTTGTACCTGCTGTTTTCTAAAGCAGGGTAGCAGTACACTCTGATGGTTTGGGGTTTTTTTTGTGTGCAAAACTGTGGATAGAACAAATACCTGGAAGTCAGTAATATCGGATCCTTATTCTTCTCTAGTTAATATTTTTAGAAAGATTAGAACAATAGTTGCTATTAAAGCATTTTTTGTTTCAGTTTGAAATAACTATGAGTAAGTCCTTCTGTTTCATTTCCTTTGTAGGTATTGTCTTAGTGGCCATAAATCCTTATGAACAACTGCCCATCTATGGCGAAGACATCATCAATGCCTACAGTGGCCAAAACATGGGGGATATGGATCCACATATCTTTGCGGTGGCTGAAGAAGCATATAAGCAGATGGCCAGGTTTGTAGACCACAGGTCTTGAATTAATTGTTTTCCTAAAAGAAATAAGACTTACAATTTCTGGCCTATGTCCTTCTCTTTAATTTATAACTCATGGAATATTTTGCAGTATCTCTCTTTTAGCCGGTGTTTTAGTACATTTCATGAGAGGGTAAGTAGCCTAAATTAGCGAATAGTAAAGCGTTATGAATGCCGTGGAGATCATGGCCACTGACAGGTGACAGGAATAACCACATATCTCATCAGTAGTTAGGTCTAAAATTAGCCCAGTGCTTTATAAGATTATATTGTTTTAATTCGATTAGCAAAATGTGTAGATAACTTTTTAATCATTGGTGGATTTTTAAAGAGCTAAGTGCCAGATTCTTAACTGTTTTGTGTTTATGTGATCCTGACAACAGAAAAAAAAACCCAAACACTCAGCTTATGAGTACTATTATAGGCGCCTAGTTGTGCTAGTAAAGTCCCAGCTATGTAATCTGCCTGTGTCTGTTGTTGTCTAGAATTAAGAGGGAGCAGAGGGATGATTGCAGAGTGCCTGAAAACGCTATCTCTAAGGGCACTGTAACAGCTGTACAGGAAATCCTCATTTCTTTAAATATTGCATGAAAATGAACTTCCGACCCAAGGAGAGTGGTTGTCAGAAACTTATTCCCCTTCGCCCCAAGAGCCTGCCAACTTGAGGAGCATTTGAAATATTTTGTTTCTAGGACAAAAATCTTTTGGGCTACCACGTGGTCTTTGGTTAATGAGATGGTCCCTGGTTTCCTCACTGATTAGCTGCAGGCTATTCGTAAAAGTTTTCCGTATTGACAATACAACCCATGGTCAAATTAATCCAAGTAAAACAGTGAGAGATCTCTGGATTAATTCTGATGGCCCTCAAGCTGTACTGGAGGAGGGGGAGGCAAGGGGAGAACGGGTTGAATATGATAATGTTAATCTCTTCATTTAGCTGTCTGTTCATTTCATAATCCCTGCGAGGGCTCGAATGAGTTAGTGCTCCGTGTGCCGTGGGGCTGGCTGCGTGCGTGGGGTGGTGATTCACGGAACCCACGGCAGGGGTCGTTTCAAAAGAAAACCCTATGGTACAGTGCAGCATTTCATGACTTAGGGTAATTGGGAAATAGCCAATGATTCAAAATAAATGCCTGCACCTGTACTGTTGAATAGCAGAGGTATTTGCCTTACTTCCTTTCTGCTAAGAAAATAGACATAAGGGGCAAAATGTGTGTTCTGACAGTTACATCTGCACTGTGGCTCCTTCAGTGCAGAACACTGGTTTAGCAGGTCTAATTTTTTCGTTTTGTTGATGTTTTACACAGACTCAAGTCTCTTTAAAAAGTCTGCATTGTGAGAATTTGTTAGCCTTATTTCACATCTGAGGCAGAGTACAGTGACTTGCGATTATATGTCAGCAATGGATACAATTCACATTCCCAGGATTTTTGTTCTTAATATTAAGGAACGGAAGTAAGAGGCTGGAGGGAGACCTCTCTTCACTATTTGCTTCTAACTGCTGTCTTGAGTGGTCTCACCTCTTACCTGGGTTGAAATTTCAACTTGCTGGATTGCCTGTGTTCTGTGTGCTTGTCGGGTGAAACCTGTGCAGTGGAGATTTCTCTCTGCTACTGTCTGCGTTCTCTGCTGTCAGAGGAAGACTCGGGCCTGAGATGCTGGTTGGAGTTTCTGCTGTGTATTTTTCTTTTTGTATTAATTGCCTAATTTTCAGCACTTGCGGCACCCTCCAGCAGTTCTGCTGTCCTGTATAACAACAAATAAGATGCAACAGAACTAACTTTCTGAAACAAATGATGAGAAATTATATAAGCATGGAAATTATTATAAATAATCTTTTTTTTCATTAATTAATTAGTTCCTTTGTGTGTCTAAAATGTGTTATAAGCAATTTGTTATTCTTTTTTGAATAACTGACAGTACTTTCGTAGGTGCAAAATGAAATCAGAGTACACAATAGAAACGAAAAAAATTCCTCTCCAATGAAGCAACAATTTCATGGGTTATTTAGTCTCTCAATGTTTATTGCCTTTTCTCTTTTCTTTTTTTTTTTTTTAAGAACTTTTTCTGTCGTTTGGATATTCTGGTTTTCCTCATTGAATTTTGTTTTCTAATGCTGTTTCTTGTTCCTTAGTCAGCTGTCCTGCCCTTTAACTTCAGTAATACTTTCTACACTCTGAACAAATCACCTTCTACTCCTGAATTGTAAATCTACACCTTTTGTTCTTTCATTTCATATTTCTGCAGCTGGTTATTTAAAAATTAAAATCAGATTGCCTGTGACTGTTTCATTAACACTTTAATAGTTGCATTGAATATTCATATGGAATTAATCTGCTTTTATGCATGTAATTAGTGAGATTTATTTTGCTGTTATTTCTACTCTTTGCTAACCCCATGTTTAAGTGATGACTGGAATAATTAGTCATGATGCTCCTATCCATAAGTGTTCATAAGTGATCTTTTCTAAATATTTACTCCTCAGGTCTTCTTGCTAGTTTATAATTTAATGATTTAGAATTTCTTCTTGCAAACTTCATTAGTTCATCTGAGAAACTCCTTCCATGTACATAATTGTGACTAAATGATCTCTGTGGCCTTCTTCAGCCAAAAGCAATTCCCCATCACAACAATCAGGAAACCTAGTGATTGTACACTAAATATTTGCATCCCCTCTTCAGAAAAAAAATACAGTGCAAAAATGTTGTTCGCTGGAACAACAGGGATGGAGCGCACATCTGGCTTGTGCATGAAAAGTGATATTCAGCAACTGCTTTTGGTGAACTGCTGTGAAAAGCAGCACGTAAAGATGCCTTCATAGGTGTTGTTTTTTTGCATAAAAAGCCACATGGTGTGGTATGCCTGGGCTGTAGAGTGCTGTGCCATTTGAGCATTCATTATTTCCTCTTTCAACAGCAGTTCCGTCACCACTTTCCAGTGGAGGGGTAGTGAAAAGGGATATGGCTTGTCTTTACCCATAGTTGGCAATGAAATAAGTCATTACTCTTTGTTCAGTAGCTTCTTGTCTTTTTCAGCACAGGAGAATGTGCACTTTTAAGTGCACATCAGCTCTTTTCAGACTGACTCCATTTTGGATTATTATTTCTGGGTTTGGTTGGTTGGTTTGTGTGTGTTTGTTTTTTTCCCCTGCCCTTTCCTCACTCCCCTTCTATTTTCCCCTTCTCATCTGTACCTTGTGGCTCTTTCCTTTTCTCTCTCCATGTCCTACCACTCCTCTGCACAGACTAACAGCTTTGTTTCCAACACCTTTCCTCTGCTGTGCTCAAAATAAGCAATGAACTAGTTTTACAACTGCATTTAAACCGTGTTAGACTTAGGGTTATGTATGCCTCATACTTACCAATAACTATTGGTTTGGGTTGTCCAGATTGCAGGTAGGAAAGGTTCCAGAGCAGATCTCTTTGCTTGTCTGAGTAGGAGGAGATCCACCTATGAGTGTGTCCGAGTGGAAGGGAGCAGGGTCGGTCAGATGGGGACCTGTCTGAGGGGCTCCCCCTGCCACAGGGCTTTTGTGCAGAGCATTTTGGGGGTGGCTGTGTTTCTGTAGGAGCAGCTGTAACAAGCT